ATTGTGAGATAAAAAGTCGCAATTACCTTTTTTTTTTTTTTTTTCAGTGGCGGAAACGGGCTTCCATAATTTAATGTGTAAAACAAAAAGCAATTAATTTTTACTTGCGCCAAGCTTGTGAATGTGTATCATGGTTTTCACAAAAACATTAACCGGCAAAAACCATTTTCAACATTAATAAGAAGAAAAGTTTCTTGAGCACTAAATCAGCATATTATGTAATTTCTGAAGGATCACGTGACACTGAAGCCTGGAGTAATGACTGCTGAAAAATACAATTCAAAAAAGAAAATAATAAATTATAAATATAAAAGTTAAATAATAAATTATAATAACATTTCACAATATTACTGGTTTCACTTATTTTTCATCCAATAAATACAACATTGGTGAACATGATGGACTTATTTAAAAAAAAAAAACAGCTTAATAATTCCAATCTTTTGACCAGTACTGTATTAAACAAAGAACTGTATGTTATGACGTAACATTCTGAAATGTAGAAACACATTCACACACAATTTGCGCTTTGGACTTGCACTGTATTTCTCCTAAAACTCATGACTGCATAAAAACTGATCACAGGCATCTGTGTTCTTTGCAAATGATCCACGACCAACACAAGAGCACATTATTATTGTGGTCTTGCTAATGTGTTACAGCCTCTAGGTATTCCTAAATTTACCAAGCAAATTATTAAACCATTTATTTAAACATAATACAAAACACAGAAATGAAGTTGCATTTACTTGATTTCTTTCTTATTTATTAACTGTTTGCTAACAGCCACATATTACACTTCATTCTAAAACATGATTGTCTGCATTAAATATTTCCTCTCTTTAAAAGCGGATCAAGTGGAGATCTTTGATGAGGTGCGATTCATTCTAGGATTGTCAAACAGTCAAGTACACACGTACACATTTGATGAAAGACACTGAAAGGCAGAGCCTTGTTTAATCGCTCAATGTCAAACAAAAGGTTAAAAGAACAAAACGTGAAGAATATGGTTAAGTCAAGCAACAAACTGCTCTTTGAGTTGTCAGTTATACAATACAAAAAAATAAAACTACTTATAGAGCTCCGGCAACATAAACACAAGTGTAAAATAGACTTTATGTGTGACTGCAGTACAAAAGCTCTATAAATTTCTGTATAAAAAGCAACAAACAAACCTGAAAGCCTGAGGCAAGAGGATCAACCCTCTGCTTTGATAAAAAAAGAGATTTGTAAGTCTCCAAAAAGCTTTCCAAAATGTCTCACAGCGGCAGGGTGTGAGGGATGCAGTCGGTTTTCACACGACCGTCCGCTCACCTCGACATTTCCTGCAGCTGCCGTAGACGGCGGAAAGCAGAAAGACGCCGGCGGTGAGGCATGCGAAGACGGAGGCAGTGAGGTAGACCTTGTACAAGCAGTGATGTTTGTAGACGTCCAGGTTGCAGTAGGAGTTCTTTTGGGTTTTGTAGATCATGATCCCAATGGTGGACAGATACAGCAGAGTGGCGGCAACGTCGTGGATGACGTTGCTTAACAACCAGCGTTCTCCTCCGACGATGGGAACGAGGTCTTGCTTGTCCAGAATCGTGAGGATGAAGATGGCTAACGTGAGGAACCAGAAAAGCACGGCCACAAACAGCACATAGTGAATGGAGCCCTCATACTTGTTAGCTGCGATGGTGACCCAAACCCCGGCTCCCAGGAGGATCTGGAGGACCCGTACAATCCCGATAAAGCTCTTGAGGAATTCCAGGAAACTTCTCTTCACTTGTGGCTGCGGGGGCATCTCCTCTTTTTGTTGAAGAGATGTTCTCCTGGAGGTCAGGGTGGGGGCTGTTTGCCACAAACAGAGAAACAAGGAGAAGAAGGAGCCAGCAGGAGAGGTAAGGAGCGGCTGATAAGGGTTTTGGAGGAGGAGAACCCTGCAAACGCACACAGAGTGATTCTTCTACTCAGCCCCGGGGTTTTGAAATGACTTCTGTCTGTCGGTCTCTTCCGTTTCCTGTGGTAACTGTTGAGTCTTGTCTCCCTCCCCCTCTCTCCAAGCAGAGAGCAGGAGGAGAAACAGAACAGAGGGCAGGACTTGAAACACTAACCCCTTTCTCCTCCTCCTCTTCCTTGTCGTCCATCACTCTCTCAGTCGGCTAGTTAGAAAATTCCTGTGAGTGCATACAGTGGCCCCAAAAAGTGTTTGGATACTTTAGCTATACTAAAGATTGTGAATGCATTTGAATTAAAAGTAAAAAACAACTAACTTGGTGGCATTTATTTTAAACAAGACATTTTTAGGATAAATATTTCTAAAAAAAAAAAAAAATTGTATTATAACAGTAGAGTAAGTATTTGTTTACTTTCTGCTTGTCATATGTTGGGAACTGATTTCATATTCACTTAAAGTCACCTTTTCTTAGCATAAAATACCCTAGAAAAGTTCTGAGATTTGTTTTTAAATGCCACTTTGTATGGGGTTATATTTCTAAATACATTACTTAAAAACATTGAAAATCATATGTTTTACACTATTGTTCCAAAGCCAGTACATTTTTTAATGTTAAGATTATTATACTTACCAAGGCTGCATTTATTATATCAAAAATACACTTAAAAATACAGATATTTTCTATTTTAATATATTATTGTGATGACAAAGCTGAATTTTCAGCATCATAGTCTTCGGAGTCACATGGTCCTTCAGAAACCATTCTAATAAGCTGATTTGCTGCTCAAGAAACATTTCTTATTATCAATTGTGGAAACAGATGTGCTGCTTAATATTTTTGTGCAAATTTTTTTCCCCCCCCAGGATTCTTTTATGAACAGGAAGTTCAAAATAACAGAAAAAGAACAAGATTTTTATTTCAAATAATGTAAAACTTTGATAAATTTAAAGCATCCTTGCTGCATAAAGTATGAATTTCTTTATAAATAAATAAACAAATAATTTTGTTAACATCATACTATTGACTGTCTTTTTAAAGGGGTCATCGGATTTAGAGTAATTTCAGGATTTAAAACAAAAAAAAGAATGGTCTGACTTTAGGTGTTATTTATTTATTTGCTACATAAAACATCTGCACGAAACAAAAACAGCAGGTCTGAATGAGACGCACTCTCTGACAGCAGGTGGCGCTTATGAACAGAGTTGCCAGGTTTTCGCAATAAAACTAGTCCAATCGCATTTGGAGGGGGTTCCCCTGTAAAAATCCATTCAGGGGGTAAAATACACGTTTTTCGGCGGGGATCTTCCAGTAAAATTCGCATTCCAGGGGATAAATATCACCTTATTGGGGTCGCTTCAACCCGCGGACATTAACAACAACCTGCGGCAACAGTGTTAAAGTAACATTAGCCCAATTCCGCAGGAAAACCGTGGACTTGGCAACACTGCTTATGAACCGACCGCAATAGCGTTTCCTTGGTTACCGCTGTAAA